GGTGTCTGACATTTAAGAAATCTACAGAGTTTATAGTTGAAGGATATTCTGATTCAGACTACGCTACAGATCTTGATAAGAGGCGATCAGTTTCAGGAATTGTGTTTAAAGTTGGAGGAAACACTGTATCCTGGAAATCAGGGTTACAGTCTGTGGTTGCTTTGTCAACTACCGAAGCTGAGTTTATGGCTCTTACTCTAGCAGTGAAAGAGGCCATATGGTTAAGAGGTTTTATTTCAGAGATGGGTTACAAGCAAGACAGTGTAAGGATACACTGTGATTCACAAAGTGAAATTGCGCTATCTAAGAATGCAGTTCACCAAGAGAGGACTAAGCATATGGATACGCAGTTCAATTTCATCAGGGATATTGTTGCTAAAAGGATTGTAAACCTAGTGAAGATTCATACATCAAAGAATCCGGCAGATTTTCTAACTAAGTGTGTACCTGGCACGAAGTTTCAACTCTGCTGTGATTCCTTAAACGTGTACTGAAGCGCGTTCTGTCTCCAGGTAGCTCCGTGGTGATCCCATAACACATATAAGAGAAGAATCTGGTTATGTGTACTTTATAAGATAAAAGGGGGATTAGTTTCTCGCAGCGAGGAGGAGTTACCTGTTGAGTGTAGGAGATCAATGGTTAGTGGATCTCTGATTTGATTTGAAAGACAATCAAGGTGGAGCTGCGATTGAGTAGTTGGTTTCGACTGCGTTGTGAAGATCGAAATGATTCAGATCTTGTTAAATCGCTAAGAGGTGAGAACTGGAGAAGAAGACTTACTGAGTTTTTCGGTTGAGGTGGAGCTATTTCAGTTGAAGGATGATGATTGATAGAGTTCGTGGATCTCTATTGCTATTTGTTTCATTTGAAATCGAGAGGAAGCAGAGTAAGGAGGCAAAGAAGAACATGAAGAGGAACCAGACAGGTCTTAAGGGTTTCGTTGATCTGTTCGAAGAACCAAAGAGGTGGAGAATTGTTGAACTTTGGTCTTCTGAGTATTGAGGTTTGGGCCTTCAGTTTGGGCCTTATCTTATTTCTCGGATACTTATGTTCTCCGCTTGGGCCGACTTCTCACTAAAGCCCACCTGGTGTTATATTGACGTGGGATATAACGGCCATAACGGTCATCATCACCATCTTATCCGATCATAATCTGTAACAGAAAACAGAGTTCTGAGAAGAAGCTTCATCGCAGAGAGAATCAAAAGAGAGAGAGAGCTTTACCAGTAGCTGGTTCAACATGAGACGACGGAGAAGTGTTCCCGACGTTGATCTAGCCGAGGATCCGATTATCTGTAGTATATTTCGGAGGTAACTTCACACGGTCTTCTTTCAGTGTACTGAGTACTCGTTGTGTATTGTGTTACCAAAGCTCTGTATTGATTCTAGTGAAGCTTGAGGGTGCCGATCCCTCCCCAGACAGTAGGAAACGAAGTCCGGGTGAACAACTCTTGTGTGCATTTACTTTTTTGCTTAGTTGATCATCTGCAATTCAAGAATCGAACAAGTTAGATAAGTGATTGAAACTGAAAATAGAATCAAGAATCAAGTGAAAATAACCAACAATTTGTTATTGTATTATTTTGTACTGTTTATAATTTTTTACACATGATGATGTAAAACCAAACTTATATCTATTCACATCATAGTCATTTGTGTATATTGAATTGCCTTAGTAAGATGTATTTTTTAAAAATCTATAATATACACTAAACATTACTCTAGGTTGTATCAGCGTAATTACTTGTTTTTCTTTGTTTTCCTCTTTCTCTCACTTTTTTTATCTCCACCTAATTCCACTTTTCATATTTCACTCGATTACTCTAAAAAAGTACCAATCACGCTCTATATGACCAACAGCATCTGTGGCCATCCATGATCCTTATCTCAACTTCATGTCTTTAGAAGAAGTAGTTCAAGCTTCCAAGATTCTTTAACGTATGAGGTTCTTTTTGGCTGAACAGTGGCATGTATGTGCCTTTACTTGGGACTCAAGCTTGGATTGGATCTCATAACTATTTTCTCACTGGATACGGAAGAACTTGGATGATAGGCGTATGAGCTCATTAAACCCGCTCTGTTTTGGCAGATACACTAGGACTTGTACCAATAAACTGATATTTCCTAGCTACTATCAAAAGAAAGTCCCTTTTCTTTGTGGCCATTCTAATGTTTGTTTTGATAGTGGTTTTCACATATGCTTTCTAACTGATCTTTGACTTTTGATTGTAGGGAGCATGCCACACTAGTCCAGAGTATGAACCAGAGGAGAGTTATGTCATGTTACAGAGGTGGACCAATGGGCAACCTCTTGAACAAGAAAACTATTATCAGATTCAGAAGACTACGTACACCCATACCAGCAGTGAAAGCAACATATGCCCATTACTGAGACGGATACACAACATGATTGAAAAGTGGACCATTACCTAAAACTTGTCAAGATTTTAATACAAATAAAAACAAAACTAATGTTAATTTGAGTAACATCTACACAGTATCATTGTTCATTTCGAGATACATGGAAGAAGATCAACGAACAAAGAGCAAAACGACAGCTTATAGAACAAGAAACAAAACCCTAATCTCTTACCCATGGAAGAGGGATCATACTTGGAACATAAACATAGCCACAAAGGTTGGAGCGAGAATAGTCACTTTCTATCACCGTATAATTTCTCACCCCATCGTCATCAATCTGACACATAGGAAGACAAACCTTATCATCTTCTCCTTCAACTCCCACCCAGTAAAAAGGACGAGCCGCCTCATCATGGAATGGTAACGCCGGAATATCAGGACCGGACAAACTGAAATATTTGCTAAACGAGACAAAACAATCAACATCACCCAACCTGCTCGAAACCCACACCTCAATGGTTCTTGATACGAGGTCTTGTTGTAGCAATGACAAGCTATCTCCATTGAAAGACGCTAAGTGACTATTATCATAAGAAGAAGGACATACACATATAACTGTAAATGTTTCATCCGAGAAATCAAAACAACGAATGAACTCTTCTTCATCCTCTGTGTAAGCAACCCAATACATGTTACCCATCACAGCCACACAGTTACGCATGATATGCATATCCATATCGAGCTCGATATCAAGCGTCCTCCAAGAACTCGTCTTGCACTCGTAAATCTCAACCTCTGGTTCATCTTCATAACGCTCAATCTCCAAAGGGCAACTAGTAAACCTCAAGATCTTGTAACCATCGCTAGCCTTGTCTTTATATCCAATCCCGTGGTAGTCAGAGCTCGTGATGCTTCGTGAGGGCTCGATCCATCTGATGTTTCTCAAGACAGGATTCCAAAGCGCGAGGTTGGTGTCTCTTGATCCGTCGTCTCTGTACTTCCACATTTTGTACTCAACCAGCATGAACCCATCGCAGTGAACCATGTGTGTGTTAACCAAACTATCAATCTTGAATGGATGTCGTAATAACTCGCTTGGGACTGGTAAAACAGAGTTTTTTCTCGTCGATGGATCCATGATTTGTACCGTATCAGTGGCTCTTAGGAAGTGTTCTTGAGAGCGTTGGAAGTGTTTGTGGATGAAAGTTTCGTCGGTGATGAGAGTGTACAGTTTCTTGCACGTTGGTTTTGATCGGACGAGAGCTTCCGCGGGAGTCTTGTAAAAGATTTCGTGTATTATCTCCGGTGGCAGCAACGACAACGACCACGAACGCCTTGGAGAAGCCATGGACGAACGCTGTGAAAGATTCGAGTCGTATCAAAGTTTCTTGGATAAGAAGTTACTTGAGCACGAAGAAAAGGAAACGGCTAAACAGTGTGGTTCTTTTAACCGTTAAAACAGTTGAAGATTCAACTTAACCAAAAAAACACGAACCGGTTAACCTTATTGATTGAATGAAGCAAACGAACCGGTTTAGTAACCACCGTTTTATGGTTAATGATTCAACCGAACCAAAACCACGAACCGGTTAACCTTTTTGATTGAATGAAGCAAACTAACTGGTTTAGCAACCGTTTTTTGGTGACGGCGAGGAAATATGATATCAGAAATTCTTGGATAATTATTCTGTTCCTCCCTGTGATTCTTTTAATTTATTTTATTTTATTTTATTTTTTGGCAAAATCTTTTAACCTCATTGACTGAATTAATCAAGCGTTTAGGCAACGACGGTTTAGTAACCACCGGTTTGGGAATTAATAATTCATTACGTCTATGACATTAAAAGTAGTATACCATACATACAATATGAATAACAGCATGGATCAGTGGCCATCCTTCTCTCAACTTTAGGTCAGAGTTCAAACTCATGTCTTTAGAAGAAGTAGTTCAAGAGTTTCCAAGATTCTTTTTGTAAACTTAGTGAGGTTCTTTTTGGCTGAACAGTGGTGATCACAACATGTATGTGACTTTACTTGGAACTCAAGCTTGGACTAAATCTCGTAACTATTCTCTCACTGATTACTGGAGACCTTGGATAATAGGCGTATGAGCTCATTAGATTCACTCTGTTTTGACAGATACACTAGAACTTGTAGTACCAATAAACTGACATTTCCTAGCAAAAGAAATTATCTTTTCGTTGTGTCCATTCTAACGTTTTGATATGCTTTTTGACTGATCTGTAGGTTTGATTGTAGGGAGCATGACACACTAGTTGAGTATGAACCAGAGGAGAGTTATATGTCATGTTACAGAGGAGAGTTATATGTCATGTTACAGAGGAGAGTTATATGTATGTTACAGAGGAGAGTTATATGTCATGTTACAGAGGAGAGTTATATGTATGTTGTAATAACTCGTTTGGGATTGGTGAAACTACAGATTAGGAGATAATATGGGTTATATTACCAATAAACTAAGAATATATTACCATATATAAATATTAGGAAAGTTAACATTATTATGTAAAGAGCTATGTAATTTGTATAAATAAGCCTATTGGCTAAGTTAATAAAATCAAAGAAACTATTATACTACTACTTAGGGTTCCTCCAAAGTATCAGAGTTGGAGCAATCAATGGCGACACCTGAAGTGAGGGAGGAAGAGCCGATGGTCGGACCTGAACCAGCTCCACGTGTCAAACGCAAGCGTCCACTTCAGATGGAGCAAGCTTATCTTGATTCGCTTCCTTGTGCTAATATGTACGAGAAAAGTTACATGCACAGGGACGTGGTCACACATGTCGCTATCTCATCTGCTGATTTCTTCATAACCGGAAGCATCGATGGCCACTTGAAATTCTGGAAGAAAAAAGGTGTTGGCATCGAATTTGCTAAGAGTTTCCACTCCCATCTTGGTCCAATCCAAGGTCTAGCAGTTAGCCTCGAGGGTTTACTTTGCTGCACAATCTCAAACGATCATGATGTTAAGATATACGATGTTGTCAACTACGACATGATGGCTATGATCCGTTTACCGTATATTCCTAGTGCTGTTGAGTGGGTAGGAGATGTTGTCAAACCTAAACTTGCTGTTACAGACAGAGACTCCTCCTTTGTGCATATTTATGATCCTTTTTCTGGTTCTAAGCAACCCATTGGTTCGAAACAGATACATTCTTATCCAGCTCAATGCTGTTTTTGATGAGAGCTCTAATTTTCTTATATACGCCACTCTTCTTGGAATCAAAATAGTAAATCTACACACCAACACAGTTGCAAGGATCCTTGGAAAAGTGGAGAGTAACGAAAGGTATCTAAGAGTTGCATTGTATCAAGGAGGAGGCAAGAAAGTTAGAAAGATTCCAGCAGCTGCAGCTAACGTTAATGAAAGCAAGGAGCCTTTAACTGATCCGACTATCATTTCCTGCGCCTTCAAAAAAGACAGGATCTATATGTTTAGTCGGAGAGAGCCAGAAGAGCCTGAAGATGTAAGCCAAGGAAGAGATGTGTTCAATGAGAAGCCTGCTTCTGATGAACTTATAATGTCTGTCTCAGATATTGGAAACTCAGCCACAACAACTTCTCTTCCAGAAAACGTGATCATACACACTACAATGGGTGATATGCACATAAAGCTTTACTCAGAAGAATGCCCCAAAACTGTAGAGAACTTCACAACACTTTGTCGAAATGGGTATTACCACAACCAACTTTTCCACCGAGTTATCAAAGGATTCATGGTACAAACTGGAGATCCTCTTGGGGATGGTACTGGAGGACATTCAATTTGGGGAGGAAAATTCGAGGATGAGTTTCACAAAAGTTTACGGCATGATAGGCCGTTCACAGTATCGATGGCTAACGCTGGTCCAAACACAAATGGGTCGCAGTTCTTTATCACAACGGTGGATACACCGTGGCTAGACAATAAGCATACAGTTTTTGGAAGAGTTGTGAAAGGGATGGATGTTGTACAGGGTATAGAGAAAGTGAAGACAGACAAGAACGAGAGACCCTATCAAGATGTGAAGATACTTAATGTCTCTGTTCCTAAATCTTAATGTTGTAATAGACATGAAGAAGAAACAATCATAATTGTTTATGAAAATAAATTGTATCAGTACATGTTATAATAGACATGAAGAAGAAACAATCATTAAGAAGACTTTTTAATTTCATTTCAAATATATGATATTCAATAACAGAGCATTTGTGGCCATCCACACTTATTTCAGAATTCAACTCATGTCTTTAGAAGAAGTAGTGGGGTTCTTTTTGGCTAAACAGTTGTGATCACAACATGTATGTGACTTTACTTGGAACTCAAGCTTGGAATGGATCTCTTCACTATTCTCTCACTGATTACTGGAGACCTTAGATGATAGGCGTATGAGCTCATTAGAATCACTCTGTTTTGGTAGATACACTAGGACTTGTACCAATTAACTGACATTTGCTACTATCAAAAGAAAGTCCCTTTACTTTGTTTCCATTCTAACGTCTTGGTATTGGTTTTCACTTATGCTTTTTAACTGATCTGTAGGTTTGAACTATAGGGAGTATGATACACTAGTCCAGAGTATAAACCAGAGGAGAAACTTATGTCATATTACAAAGGTCAACCTCTTGAACAAGAAAACTATTATCAGAAGACTACGCCTATACACAACATGCTACAAAAGTGGACTATAACCAAAAACTTTATAAGATTTGTAATACAAAAACCAATGTCAGATTCAGTAACATCTGCACAGTATCATAGTGTTGATATGGAGATATAACATGGACATAAGATCAACAAAACATTGAGAAAAACCCTAATCTCATACCCATGGAAGAGGGATCATACTTGGAACATACACATAGCCACAAACCAAGGCATCAGAATAGTCATGCACGTAGTCACGTTCCGTCACCTTCTCATTTCTCACCCCATTCTCATCAATCTCATACAGAGTAAAGCAAGTACACACCTCATCATCTTCTCCTTCAACTCCCACGCACCATACAATAACACTCTTAGGCTTCACAAAGCAGTAGACAGGATTAGCGTATACATACCTAGTCGCATCATTACGGCCCCGTAACGCTGGAAGAACAGGACCACACAAACTGAAATACTTGCTAAACGAGACATCACCATCACCCAACTTGCTTGAAACCCAAACCTCAATGTTTCTTGATACTTCGTCTTGTTGTAACAAAGACAAGCTATCTCCATTGAAACAAGATAAATGACTATTCTCAGCAGGACAGAAACATATGTCCTTGAACGTTTCATCCGTGAAATCGAAAACCCTAATGAACTCTTCTTTCGGTGTTTGTACTCTATAAGCAACCCAATACATATTACCCAACACAGACACACATCTGCACGTAATCTCCACGTCACCATCAACCTTGCCACCAACGGTTCTCCAAGAACTCGTCTTGAACTCGTAAACCTCAACCTCTGGTGCATCCTCGTAACCCTCGATCACAAACGGACGACACGTAAACCTCACGAGCTTGTAACCATCGCTGTTGTATCCAATCCCGTAGAAATCAGAGCTCGTGATACACCCCGCGGGCTCCACCCATCTGACCTTTTTCAGAACAGGGTTCCAAAGTGCGACGTTGGGGATCTGTGATTCGTCGTCTCTGTACTTCCAACCGTGATAGCCAACTAGGATGAGTCCGTCGCAGTGAACGAGGAGTGTGTAAACCAAAGTACCGATCTTGTAAGGATATTGTAGTAACTCGTTTGGGATCGGTGAAACAGAGCTTTTGCTGGTTATTGGATCCATGATTTGTACGGTATCAAAGATTCTTATGAAGCGTTCTTGGGAGCGTTGGAAGTGTTGGGAGATGAAAGTTTTGTCGGTGATGAGAGCGTGCCATTTCTTGCAGGTTGGTTTTGATCGGACGAGAGCTTCTGCCGGAGTCTTGTAGAAGATTTCTTGTATTATCTCCGGTGGAAGCAGGGGGAACGACCACGAACGCCTTGGAGAAGCCATGGACGAACGCATGTGAAAGATTCGAGTCGTATCAGAGTTTCTTGGATAAGAAGAAAGAAACGACTAAACTATATGTGGTTCTTTTAACCGTTAAAACAGTTAAATATTCACCGAATGAAAAACATGAAATCGGTTAATCTGCATAAAGGAAACGAACCGGTTTAGTATCCACCGGTTTTTGGTAACCAGGAACTATGATGTCAAAGATTTTTTTTTTTCTTTTGGTAAGATTGATATCAGAGATTTCTTGGATAAATCTTTTTTTCCTCCCTGTGATTCTTTTTATTTTTTTTGTAAAATCTTTTAACCTCTTTGACTGAATAAATCAAGCGTAACACTGAAAGATTTAACCAAACCAAAAACATGAAATCCTTAATTTTCATTGACTTAATAAAGCTAACGAATCGGTGTTTAGTAACCACCGGTTTGGTAACGACGAGGAACTCAAGCTTGTGTAGACTTTAGTGTTTTTTTGTAGCCTAGAAGTGATCAAGACATGTATGATGTATGTGCCTTTCCTTGGAACTCAAGCTTGGATTATATCTATTAACTATTCTCTCATTGATTACTGGAGACCTTGGATGATAGCGTATGAGTTCTTTTGTCGTATGAGCTCATTAGAATCACTCTGTTTTGGCAGATGCACTAATACTACTTATGCTAAGAAGATGGCATATGCTACTATCGAAGCAAGTTCATTTTCTTTGTGTCCACTTAAACCTTTTTGATAGTGGTTTTCACCTATGTTTCTTAATTGAGTTCTGGGTTTGATTGTAGGGAGGACACACTCCAGAGTATAAGAGCATCAGCATAAGTGAACCCCATGGTTGGGATTCACAACTGAATTTTTTATTTTTTTTTTCGTTTGACTTTAAAAAAAAAAAAAAATTAAAGTGATCTATAGCGGGTTGCCACGTGGCGTGGGACTCACAAAATAGTGATGAACCATGTTCATCCTGCTGAACCTTCACGACACAGGTTCACACAAATATGATTTTTATATATTTTTTTTTTTGGGAAGGGGGTGAACCCCATGGTAAACCAGAGGAGAGTTATGTCATATTCCAAAGGTGGATCAATGGACAGACTATTTGACAAGAAAATTTATTATTCTCTGAAAACATGCGAGTATTATTTATGTGAAACATTTACTTTTGATTAGACAATGTGGTTACATATGTGAAAAACTGATTGGCAAACCTAACATTCTGGCACTGAAAGCTATACGGCAAGAGTTTATTGCTTGGTTACCATTTCTCCTCTAATTTTGCATTGGCCTTTCAACTTTTTATTTTATAATTTACCAACAAATATTCACCACAAAAACTACAAATTACTGCACTTTAATGTTCTTAGATCCATATTGATAAAAAGAAAAGATTCATATCACTCATAGTAAATAAATAAAACATGAATCATCTCATAGTATTTTTTGTTAATTGTTACTTTGTATTCCGACACCGTCTACCTAAGAGCACCCCCATCAAAGGATGATGGGGGAGGTTCACACACAAACCAAGAAAAAAAAACAATAAAATAATGTAAAAGTTGTGAACCTGGGCTGCAGAGGTTCATGGCAGTGAACCTGGTTCACTACTGTTTCGTGGGCCCCACGCCACGTGGCGGCCCACGATTGGTCACTTTTTTTTTTTTTTAAAAAAGAAAAGATAAAACGAAAATAAAAAAAAATAATAAAAAACTCAGTTTGTGAACCCCAAGTGGGGGTTCACTGATGCTGATGCCTAATAATTGTGTTCTTAAAGTTAGCTGTGAATATAACAAAAAGGATAAATCCATCGGTACGGTGAGATTCAGAGGTCTTCCACATCGTATAAACATCGTTGAAGCTTGCTTTGACAGGACGACATGTCATTGCTTATTGCAACAAGATGGATACTCTTCATTTTTCAGAGCATGCTTAGAGCATCCGCAACGGGCCATTTCGCGGGTCCTTGGAGATGGATCCTTCACTGTTCGGGCTTATTTTAATATAAACGGATCTGTTAATTTGATGGATCGATACATAATTAAGGGGCTGAAGGGTTGACTCCTTATCGACGTGGACTTGTGCTAATGGATGCGAAAAAGGTGTATCTCGGTGTAGGAAAAAAAATCTGTCATTTGCTCGAGTCATCTGAAAAAAAAAACCCCAAAGGCGATAAAAAAGGTGATTTCGTCTCCGGAGAGATTCGAGGTAAATCGACTCGTTTTGTTGTTGATTTATGGTTTATACTCTTTTGCATGTTGTTTTCATCGCGTTTTGGAGATCAATCGGTTCATTTTTTAGGGTTTCGAGGATTTGGGTTTCAATCGATTTGTGGGAATATGAGTTTTTTGTTGATTTACGGTAGTAGACACTCTTCCATGTTGTTTTCTTCGCGTTTTCGAGATCAATCGGTTCATTTTTTAGGGTTTCGAGGATTTGGGTTTAGGTCGATTTGGGGGAATATGAGTAGTTGTTTCGGTTTGTGCTTGTTGATTCGGTTTGTGTTTGTTGTTTCATTTTGTGATTGTTGATTCGGTTTGTGTTTGTTGTTTCGTTTTTTTAAAAGCTCTTGGGTTCTATCTATTAAGATCTGAGTTTGTGGTTTGTGTTTGTTGTTTCGTTTGTGCTTGTTGTTTCGTTTGTGCTTCTTGTTTCGGTTTGTGCTTGTTGTTTCGTTAGAGTTGGGGTTTGTGTTTGTTGTTTCGGTTTGTGTTTGTGGTTTGTGTCCGCTCTAATTTTAAATTTTCCTTTCAATATTTTCAGGGAAAAAGATGGGTCAGGATTACAGTTACAGTCAGCCCTCTTCGTCTGGTGAGGAGTATGACTTCGGGTATGGGTGCCTTCTTCAGGGAGAAGCTGATGGTTGCCCTGACGAAGCTGAGAGTAGCTACAACGTTGCGGAGGTGTTTGAGTACCCACGCCAACCTGAATGCGATGATGGAATCCCTCGGATATGCTACTGTGGGGCTGATCCAGTTGTTCACACGGCTTACACTTCAAAAAATCCAGGGAGGAGGTACTTCTCGTGTGAGAACGTCGACGATGGTGATTGCCATCTGTGGAAGTGGGTAGATGAGGCGGTTCTGGAGGAGTTGGACGACATTCAGAGACAAGTCAGGTTGCTGAAAGATCACAGTTCGAGATGTCGCAGAAGGTGCTCAAGGTGGAGAAGACTATATCTGACATGGCTAAGAAGCAATCTGTGGTTACAAATGGCTTGGTTTTGGGGGTTTGTGTGCTCGGAACTCTTCTAGTTTGTTTAGGATTGGTGGTCTCAGCTCAGGCGTGGTTAGTTTCTCTTCGTTTTCTGCTTTGTTTTCTATTCGGCGTATAAGTAAAATTGTCTCTGATATCCATTTTTCCATTTTTGTCATCAGGTTTGATGGTGGTAGCAACACCAGTCTCTGACCTCGACATAGTTCTTAAGGTACTTTTTACCTTCCTCTTCTAATTAAAACTTGTTTGAAACATAATAAACTGTTTAAAAATAAATTTAGAACTTTTAAAATTTTAACACTAAAACTGGTTAACTATAAATTTTAAAACTTTAAATCTTTTTAACATTGCAAGTGTTAAACTTTAGTATACAATTATTTGTGGTTAACTTGAAAACGTTAAAACATTCAAACATTCAAACATGTAAACCTTTTATAAAACCATAAATGCTCGTGAGCTGCTTTTAACCTTCTAACGCTATTGAGTTGATAGGTTTTTTAATGTTGGTTAGTTTAAGAGCATCCGGAATTAACTTCTGGTAAAGCAAGTGCATTACTTGCTACCTTCCCAACTCTTTTGAGTTGATAGGTTTAAATGTAAGTTAGGTGTAGCTCTCTTACTTAAGCCTCTGTGTTGCTTGTTAGAGCGACACAAAGCATTCAACAACCATGGATACAACTACAAATTTCACTAACCTACTCAATAGCCAAACCATATATAATCTTGACCCTCCGGAGCTTGATGAGCCTGAACCTTCCTTCAAGGAGAGGAGGCACTGGTCTCCAACAGAGGATATCATCCTCATTGGGGCTTGGCTAAACACAAGCAAAGACCCTGTCGTGGGCAACCAGCAGAAGGCCACCAGGTTTTGGAAGAGGATTAAAGACTATTACAACGCCAGCCCTCTCCTCGTCGGGACAACACCCAGAGAGATCGTGAGCTGCAAGCAGAGATGGGGACGCATAAATGATCAGGTCTGCAAGTTCGCAGGCTCCTATGAAGCGGCTCTAAGGGACCAGAAAAGTGGACAGAACGATGATAATGTGGTGACAGCAGCCCTAAAGCTCTATGAAAATGACTACAAAGCCAAGTTTACTCTCGAACATGCCTGGAGGGAGCTCAGGCATGATAGTAAATGGTGCTCCTCAGTAAAGACTAAGGACACCGTCAAGGACAAGCGCAAACAAGTTCCGGAGGTTGCTGAACAGGGAGAGTCTTCTGCTGGTAGACCCGTTGGCGTTAAGGCTGCTAAAGCAGCTATTAAAAAGAAGAAAAATGGTAAAGAAGAGGACTTGTCTAAGTTACAGGTTCTGTTCGAACTCAAAGAAAGAGTCTCAAAGCAGAAATTGCTTGACCGTCTGCTAGCCAAGCCTGAGCCACTCTGTGAGATGGAAACATCTCTCAAGCTCAAGCTTATGTCTGACATGTTGTGATGTGTTATGTTTGCAGGTTATTCTCTTGTGTGCTAGTAGGTTTGATGCTAAAATACTATACGTATGCTAGTAGGTTTGATGCTAAAATACTATACGTATGCTAGTAGGTTCTATCTTGTGTTATACGTTTACTAATACATATGTGTCTTGTCTGTTGCAGGTTCAGCACATGTGAAATATGTTGTTTGCTTCTATTGGTTCACGGATGCATTGGAGAAGCGCAATTGTTTTCCTCTGTAGGACCAATGAAACAGGTCACGGGTGCATTTACAGATGCGCAAGTGGTTTGCTCACGGGTTCTTCTGTTTCACTTGCCTTCTATATATGCTTTAGTATCTTTGTTTCCTTTTCTTCACAAGCTCTTTGTAATTTCTAACTTTTCGAACTTCTGAAATGTACTCCTATCTCCTAAACTTTGTACTCGGATATTATTAAGACAAAGGCAGTTTGTGTTTCAAGTCTTTTTTTTGCAAGTTTCTGAATCATCTTTTATTAAGACGAGAGCAGGTATCATCACCTTCTATATATGCTTTACTAGTGTTGTTTCTTTATAGCTTGATTTAGTGTTGTTTCTTTCTAGCCTTCTATTATTAAGACCAGGGCAGTTTAAGAATATGAGTTTAAAGAAGATAGGAAGCATAACCAAAAAAGATTACATGATATATAGTTTAAAGAAGATAATAAAATGATTTATAACCAAATTTGAATCAATGTGTACTCGTTTAATATGTTGTTTTCCTATATATAAGATAGCCAATATTTGTTTTAACGTTAAGTCTTAATCATTGTAGTATTAATTTATGAATATATGATATATAGTTTATAAGAATATGAGTTTAAGAATAAATTTAGTGAAACCCAATAAAGATTACCTCTATAAAATTGTACTAAAATACTTATGTTTAATTAATTTATGTTTAATTAATTTATAAGCATTTCAAATACTTTTATTGTTATTTCACTTAGTTTTTGACTTTAATTTTCCAAATATAACAAGGTAAATATTTTGTTTCAGCGAGGGATAAGTAAAATGTCATCCTCTTCATCCGATGACCTCGAACAGAGATTGGACGACGTTCTCGACAATGTCTTAGAAGAAACATTCGACAGGATGGTTGAGTCCCAATCCAATAAGCAAAGAAAACGTGCTTATGTAGAACGAAACCGCGAAGAAGGAGACAAACGTTTATGGCATGACTACTTCAGCGACAATCCGACATTTCCGACATATCTATTCAGACGCCGTTTCCGCATGAACAAGGACTTATTCTTGCGTATTGTTCATCGCCTCTCAGATAACGTTCCTTTCTTTCGACAAAGAAGAGATGCAACTGGTAGGTTAGGACTTTCTCCACTACAAAAATGTACTGCCGCAATTCGTCTACTTGCTTATGGTTCGGCGGCTGATACGGTTGACGAATATCTCCGACTAGCTGAATCCTTGGCTCTTTCATGTTTACACAATTTCACTGAGGCAATAATACTTTTATTTGGAGATGAGTATCTACGCAAACCCACACCAGAGGATCTCCAACGACTACTCGATGTTGGAGAGATACGCGGGTTTCCTGGAATGATAGGAAGCATAGACTGTATGCATTGGGAGTGGAAGAATTGCCCAACCGCTTGGAAAGGACAATATACCCGAGGATCAGGAAAACCGACAATTGTACTAGAGGCTGTAGCTTCTCACGATCTTTGGATATGGCACGCCTTTTTTGGCCCTCCAGGTACTTTAAACGATATTAATGTCCTCGATCGGTCTCCGGTTTTTGATGATATTATACATGGTCGAGCTCCACGGGTACAGTACGTGGTCAACGGACACATGTATAATTTGGCGTACTACCTTACTGACGGTATTTATCCCAAATGGTCAACATTTATCCAATCTATCTCACTCCCTCAAGGTGATAAAGCAGAGTTATTTGCTAAAGTTCAAGAATCGACCAGAAAAGATGTGGAACGCGCTTTTGGAGTATTGCAAGCTCGATTTGCGATCGTCAAAAACCCAGCTCTTTCATGGGAAAAGGAAAAGATTGGTCACATTATGAGAGCATGTATCATACTGCACAATATGATTGTCGAAAATGAACGACATTGTCACACTCAGTATGATACATCTGATTTTGAAGAAGGGGAGTCCTCCAGAAGTTCACAGGTGGATATGTCTTATACTACCGAGCGGTCTAATCTCAGTAATGTGCTTCAAGCGCGGAATAGTCTTCGCGATCGGAGTATTCATGAACAATTAAAAAACGATTTGATCGAAAACGTTTGGATCAAATTTCGTGATCAAGTTTAATTACAATTTGTATCTTTTTCTTTAATTATGAAATTAAAATAAATCTTTCATGTTTATAATTTGCATCTTTTACTTTGATTATATAATTAAAATAAATCTTAAAATAAATCTTAATTTCAAATATTTCACTTTTTTTTTAAGGACCCCAAATGGAGTCCACCATTAGAAAGAACTTTATGTTATGAATCCTTAACTATTTAAAAAAAAAAAACCAAAAAGGGAGTTAAGGATCCCAAATAGGGATCCACCATTGGAGATGCCCTTAGGTAATGCAACTCCTCGATGTGGGGAGTTACGAGTTTATGTTGCTAAAGCTGATGGAATCTACAAATCCAAAAATGCTGGTCCAGAAGTATTGGATCAGCGTTGGACCAAAAACTAATGGTATATAAGCTAACACACTAATGTGGTCCTAAAGAGCTAAGTTATCTTTTGGTTTTGGTGTTACAACGTACATAAAAATGTAACATAGATATGAATTTCTTGAAATATTGCGCGTATTGTTTATATAGCAAATTAATCTCGTGGCCACTCACCAGAAAACAAACGAAGCCCATTCATTAAACAAAAACTCCCCCACGAACGTGTTGCGTTTCGGGTGAGATCAGGTTGCGTGATCAACACGTGACCTAAATTAAACAGAAATATATGTTGAGATCTCACATCTTAACCGCTTCGCTCGTTATATTCGTTATATTAGAGTGAGCATACAACATAGTCTGCGCACAACAAAAATTATTAAAGAACCACAAAACTGATTCAAGAATCTGCGACAATTCAAATCTCTCAGAGTGCTCATGAACATGGCTTCTTCGAAGCGTTCTTGGTCTTTGTCGTTGCTTCCACCGGAGATAATACAAGAAATCTTCTACAAGACTCCGGCTGAAGCTCTCGTCCGATCAAAGCCGACGTGTAAGAAATGGTACGATCTCATAACCGAAAAAAGATTCATCTACCAACACTTGCGTCGCTCTCAAGAACGATTCATAAGAATCTTTGAAACGGTCCAAACCATGGATCCAAACGAGTTTCAACCTCCGTATGAGATTGATACTATGGTTCACTGTGATGGACTCATGCTGTGTAAGTTCGTCGACTTGATGACGTTAAGCTGCGCCAACCTCGCTCTTTGGAATCCCATCACAAGGAGAATCAGATGGATCAAGCCCGTGAAGATCATCACGAGTGGTGATTACTACGGGATTGGATACAACAGCAGATGCAAGAAGGAGGCTCGTGACGACGACGGTTACAAGATCGTGAAGTTTCATTGTGGTGGCCTGTCGACGTCTGAGTATGGGCCGTTTGGTTACAGTAAAGTACCACAAGTTGAGATTTACGAGTTCAATACGAGTTTATGGAGAACTATTGGTGGACAAAAGGTTGATAGTAGCGTGAAATTCACGTGCAAATGTGTGGCTGTGATGGGTAACATGTATTGGGTTGCACTTAGCGATGAAACACCAGGAGAAGAGTTCATTCTTGGTTTCGATTTCTCGGATGAAACATTCAAGGAGATATGTTTCTGTCCTCCTACTTATGATGATTTTAGCCATTTAGCTTCTTTCAATGGAGATAGCTTGTCATTGTTACAACAAGACCGAGTATCAAGAAACATAGAGGTGTGGGTTTCAAGCAAGTTGGGTGATGGTGATGTCTCGTTTAGCAAGTATTTGAGTTTGTCCGGTCCTGATCTTCCGGCGTTACAGGTCCATAATGATGCGACTCGTCCTGTATACTGTTTTGTGAAGACTAAGAGTGTAATTTTATGGTGCGTGGGAGTTGAAGGAGAAGGTGATAAGGTTTGTTGCTTTAGTACTCTGCATGAGATTGATGAGGATGGGGTGAGAAATGAAAAGGTGATAGAACGTGGCTACGTGGATGACTATTCTAGCTCCTTCCTTTGTGGATACGTGTACGTTCCAAGTCTAGTCCCTCTTCCATGAATAAGTGGTGGATTAAGAGAAGAAGATGGTTGTTACTTTCGTGTTGTAGCTTTGGCTTTTGGTCTTTGTTTTGTTGATATTGTTACTGATATTGGTTTTGGTTTTGCTCGGTAAAATACTAAACTTTTTGTACACCCTTTATTTGGCTGGTTATATTTGCATGTATCACTTATTAATAAACTACACTCTTAATTCTTTTATAGCGATGTTGTTGTATGATTTTACAAGATAAGCATTATTTGTTTATCATTAAGAGAAAATGTGGGAAGATGATGATTCGTGTGGACCAAGTCTTCTCCTCCCATTAGCTTGCCTTATTGGTAAAGTATCCTTCTCCAAGCAAATGTACCTCTCAGTCTTTTGTGTGTTTACCTTCTATTCTCTCATTAACTTCTTAATAACTTGATTAACCTTACAAAAGAAATAAATGTCAAAGTTTCACTGTTTTTATAAGAAGATAAACTTATTATAAATTGCATATATATATTTTTCCAAACTATTTCCCTAGAATTAGTTTCACCCTAATGTGGTAAACTTGAATGTGACATGCATAAGATACGTAGCTAGATATATATACAATGCACCTAGTATAAAAGGAAATCAATTAATTTTTGTAACAAAAAAAAATTAAAAAAAAATCTATGATCGTCGAAAAAAACTATACATTCGTTTAAAACGACATTGATTACTTTACTATACTTCATAAAACGACATAGACAAATATACAATGCACCTAGTATAAATGGAAATTCGATTAATTTTTGTAACAAAAAGAAGTTAAACAAAAAAAATATTTGATCGTGAAATAACTACTTTCGTTTAAAACGACATTGATTCCTTTACTATACTTCATAAAACGACATAGATAAATATACAATGCACCTTTTTTTTTGGTAGTGAAATATACAATGCACCTAGTATAAATGGAAATTCGATTAATTTTTGTAACAAAAAGATATTAAACAAAAAAAATCTTTGATCACGAAATAACTACTTTCGTTCAAAACGACAGTGATTACTTTACTATACTTCCCAAAACGACAAAAATACGCAGTGTTTTGTCGGGTTTACTGCAAAAAGAAAAAAAGAAAAATAATTAGGAAAATGAAAACTGGAAATGAAAAATCGAAAATCGGAATCGGAATCCGAAACATCCGTCGAAAAAGAAACAAATTTCTTGCAATTGAAGTTACCTTTTAACTCTCCTTTAAATCAAAATCCCCAATTTTGCCAACTTCTCTCCCTGTTCTCAGGTTTTGGGGGAGAAATAAAGAGAGAGAGATTTTAGAACAAACCCTAGTGACAAAGTTACAGTCTTTTTGCTTTAAAATGGGTCGTGAATCAGTGTCTACTCTGTCTTCTCCGCCCACGGCGACGGCCACGGCCACTGCGGTGGCGACGGCCACGGCCACTGCGGTGGCGACGGCGCTTGCTCCTGGGTTTCGATTTCATCCCACTGACGACGAACTCGTGAGCTATTACTTGAAGCGGAAGGTTCTGGGTAAGCCCGTACGGTTCAATGCGATTGGGGATGTGGATATCTACAAGCATGAGCCTTGGGACTTAGAAGGTTCGCTGGGTTCTTCTCTCTATCTCTGTGATTTAGGGTGTTTTTGTGGGAATGTGTTGCTTCTGATTTGGGATTTTTTCGTGTTATGGGTTTCTTCAGGGGGTTATGTTTTCTTACTCAATTCAGAAGAAAGGTTTAGTTTTTGTGGTGCTCTGATTTTGTTGCTGATTCTCTGTTAGTACCTTTTACTGTGAAAAGCTTAGTTTTTTTTTTCATAATGATCTTGTGGTACATTGTTTGCTTGTGTTTCAGGGAATGGAATTTGTTGTTCTGTGTTTTGTTACTTGAAAGTTTTAGTGTTATTAAGTCCGGTTTCACATTTTTTCCTTCTGTATATCATATTCCTTAGGGATTGCTTGTGTTTCAGTTCATGAAGTTTGTTGTTCTGTTTCATGGTATCTCAAGCTTATTGTGGTCTGATTTTCTCTTCTTCTGTGTTGTATATGTTTCAGTGTTTGGTTATTTGAAGTTTTGAGCTTTAGTGTTAATTAATAACTCAAGTTTCATTTCTTTGTATGTCTTCTGGTGTGATGTAAATCAGATTCCTTATTTCTGGCGAACTTGTGCTTCCACATTAGTTTGCTTCTGTTTCAGGACATGAAGTTTGTTGTTGCGTGTGTAAGCTTTGTTTGCTTGTGTTTCAGGAAATAAAGTTTGTCGTTCTGTGTTTGGTTATCTGAAGTGTTGATTTTGTGCTTCTACATGAGTTTGCTTGTGTTTCAGGACATAAAGTTTGTTGTTGCGTGTCTGCGTATCTCAAGCTTACTGTGGTTATTATGTCTGGCATGATATTCACTTCTGGTGTGTTGTGTGTGTTTCAGTTTTTTCGTGGTTGAAGACAAGGGACCAGGAATGGTACTTCTATTGCGCGTTAGACAAGAAGTACGGAAACGGCGCTAGGATGAACCGAGCCACTAACAAAGGCTATTGGAAAGCAACTGGTAAAGACAGAGAGATCCGCAGTGATGTTCAGATTCTCGGTATGAAAAAGACACTCGTTTTTCACAGCGGTCGTGCCCCGGATGGGCTCCGGACCAATTGGGTCATGCATGAGTATCGCCTTGTGGATTATGAAACCGAAAACAATGGAAACTTGGTGGTATAGTTTTTCTCAAATAAGTTACTATTCTTTTGTCTGATACTGTCCAAGGAATCCTCTCTAATCTCAAGTCTTTGTTTTGAGTGTGCAGCAAGATGCGTATGTGTTGTGCAAAATTTTCCACAAGAATAACATTGGGCCTCCATGTGGGAACAGATACGCGCCTTTCTTGGAAGAAGAATGGGCTGGTGATGGAGTAGCTCTGATTCCAGGAGTAGACGTTAAGGTCAGCGTGGAGCCCCAACCAGTAGCTAATGGAAACACTCAGGTTTGCACTTCCTCCATAACCCATAACCTGCTTAGTTTCATTTCAGTGTTTTGTTATGTGGAAAAGCTCTGTGTTGAAGTGAATCACTTCTCTTAATTTGCAAGATATCATGGTTCTTATATGCAAAAATTGTATGATGAAAGTGAAGCTTATTTATCTCCTGTTTCAGTGAACTTGTTATCAACTCTTGTAGAATTCAACCTTATAGATTTATCTGATGAATCGTATCTCTTGATTTACAACTCTTGTCCTCATTCATGCTGATTACAAGATGTTTCGACTTACAGTTTTCGTTTTTCATTATATGAACTCACATAGTTGATCAGTGAAAAGGATTTATTGTGTTTTGGTGAACATTTCAATTGTGATCTTCATCTGAAAAGTAGACCAACGCATTTTTGGTTTCAAATATTGTATTTGTGCCTTGTGGAGTTTACATAACTTGAAATTTGTGGTAGGAAACCCAGTCAGAAAGCAAGGGCCTCATTAACATAAACGAGCCGCCAAGAGAGGCTACACCAATGGATATCGAAGTTAACCATCAGGAGACTGCCCTGAAGCCTAACAACAATAACCATTCTAATGAAGATGAGGAAGCACCCAAACGTGAGCACGCAGATGAAGATGAGCGTCTTCTTCCTGCTGTATGCGTTCTTAACAAAGAAGCTCCATTACCTATCCTCCAGTACAAGCGAAGACGCCAAAACGAGTCTAACAACAACAACAACTCAAGCAGGACCGCAGAGGATTACTGTTCGTCCACAACAACAACCGTCGACAATACACCAACTTTAGTCTCATCGTCTACTGCTGCTCCTACCGCCAACACTGCCATCTCTGCATTGCTTGAGTTCTCTCTCATGGGTATCTCCAAGAAGGAAGAAAATCTGCAGAAGCCACTACGTCCTCACAAGGAAGCTTCTCCTCCTCCTCCATTTGAGGAGAAGCTTAATGATCTCCAGAAGGAGATTGAGCAGATGTCTGAAGAGAGGAAAACATTCAAGCTTGAGATGATGGGTGCAGAGGCTATGATCAGTATTCTCCAGTCGAGGATCGATGCATTGCGCCAGGAGAACGATGAGCTGAGGAAGAACAGCGCCAGTGGATGCTAAATGCTCTATCTAAAACCATGTCTCTAGGCTTCTTATTCTTTGCCTTTTTAGCTGTTTAATCTATCTAATATTAGGAGTTGTCTATGTAGCGTCTTCAGATGGATTAAGAACTCTGCTAGGTCTTTTTTTTTTTTTTTTTGATGTTTCTACATCTTTTGATAACATTCTCAGGTTGCTCTCCATTGTCATATATTATCATCTAGTCTTTTCAGTCAATAACTCTCTTTAATCACTCCCAAGAAATGTTCAATCTCCATGGAGTGGAAAATAATATCGATTGCTTAGTTTCAATGGCTTTGTGGTATCTCTCGTCTTCTCCTATACGTCTTTTTAATATACTAACTTTCTATATTTGCTTTTTTTTTGTTCATTGAATAATTGATATGAAGACTCTTAGTTGGATTAAGAAGAAAACCCTCTTTAATCTAATACTAGGTGGTGGTGGTCGAGAGTGGACCATTACTTGGTCGTTTAGCTAGCCGTAAGAGCACCCCCATTGAAGGTTCATGGGGGGAGTTCACACGGAAATCAAGAAAAAAAAATAATAAAATAATAAAAACCTATGAACCCCTCTCTCCTAAAGTTCACCGCAGTGAACCCCTCTCTCCTGAGGTTCAACACGTGGCGACTCGGGATTGGTCTAGATTTTTTTGTTTTGTTTTTTTTTTTAAAAAAAAAAATCAAAAAGAAAACAGAAAACTTTTAATTATAAAAAAATGATTCAATGAACCCCAAGAAGGGGTTCATTGATGTGGATGCCCTAAGGAGCCAATGATTTATACCCGAACCTGTCTAATTTGCAGCTGCAGGAGGTTCAGCAATGTAGGAATAATTATTTTTTGGAGGTCATCTTACTCAGTCCTGATCTTACTATAGCTTAAACTACAAGCTTCCAAGTTTATTTTGTTCATTTTAATGTCTTAACTTATAAGTACTATATTTTATCAAGTTTCAAGAAGATTCTAGTTTTTCAGAAGAGATTTTTGATATAAAACGTACGTATTTGGAAATGGTTTAATATCGTAGTAATAGGATTTACCAAGTCTCAATCAAATTGTGTAGATTTTTTCGATTTTTAGACTATGTCGTTATGTTATACCGAATCTGTCCATGATTAATCCTTCTCTTATGAGTTTCTGTGTTCAGACCAGTAGTATGACTCTACCTTTTTGAATGTGTTGAGCTGTTCATTTGATTTTGATCTTTAGAGTTGAAAAAAAGAAAAATTTACTTCACCACCACAAAACGTCAGCGTTTTGTTTATTTTACTGCATTAATACAACAAAACCCACACAGTAACATTTTAATCGCTAGGGGTTTTCTTACCGTACACTCCAAAGAAAAAAAAAGCAAAATTGGAATCCCAATCCGAAACCGAAACACAACTTGTTTTCTAGCCTCCTGGGAAACGCAAAAAAGAAATTAAATTCCTTGCAATTGAAGGTACCTTTAATCTTCACCTCATCTCTTTAACTTCTTCTCCGTAAAATCAAAACCCCACTTGCCAACTTCCTTTCTCTGTTCGTCTTAATCAGGTTCCTTGAAAGAGAGATTTAGAAGAAACCCTAGTAACAAAGTTACCGTCTTTTGCTTAAAATGGTTGGCGATTCTGTAGCTGTTGACTCCTCGCCGCCTTCAGCGACTGCGCCGAGTACTGCTGTGGCTGCTACAGCGCTTGCTCCCGGGTTTCGATTTCACCCGACTGATGAGGAACTCGTGAGCTATTACTTGAAACGGAAGGTTCTGGGTAAACCCGTACGTTTCGATGCGATTGCGGATGTTGATATCTACAAGTATGAGCCTTGGGACTTAGCAGGTTCGATGGGTTTCCTCTGTCTTTGTGTATCTTTGTGATTTGGGTTTCTTCTGTGAATATGTTGCTTGTGATTTTGAGTGGCTTATGGCTTCTTGGGTAAACTCAATTTTGGGGAAAGAGTTTAGCTTTGTGGGTTCTGATTCATTTTTCTGGGGAAATATCGATGCAGGTTTATGTTTTTGCTATGTTTAGGCTGTATCACTGTGAAAATAGTTTTGTTCTTGTTGACTTTTATAATTGGGAAAAATGTAGACTTTTTTCTTGATTCCTTGAGATTTTTTTTTTTTTTTTGGTATCTTGTGTTTTAAGTTTTGTTTGCTTGTGTTGCAGGGAATGAAGTTTGTTGTTCTGTGTTTGGTACTTTGGTTATCTGAAGTTTTTGAGTTTATTGTTCTTTAGTACGGTTTCATTTTTTTGCCTTAGTTTACTTGTGTTTCAGGACATAAGTTAGTTTACTTGTGTTTCAGGACATAAAGATAGTTTGCTCAGGGAATGAAGTTTGTTGTTCTGTGTTTGGTTATCTGAAGCTTTTAAGTTTTAGATTAGTCTTATTGTCCGGTTTCATTTATTGCCTTATTTTACTTGTGTTTCAGGAGATATAGTTAGTTTGCTTGTGTTTCAGGACATAAAGATAGTTTGCTCAGAGAATGAAGTTTGTTGTTCTGTGTTTGGTTAGCTTAAGTTTTTGAGTTTTGCCTTATTGTCCGGTTTCATGTTTTGCTTTGTGTAATTCCGCATTAGTTTGCTTGTGTATCAGGACATGAAGTTTTTTTTATTGCGTGTCTAAGTATCTCAAGCTTATTGCGGTTTGATTTTCTCTTCTACTGTGTGTTTCAGTGTTTTCGAGGTTGAAGACAAGGGACGAGGAATGGTACTTCTACTGCGCGTTAGACAAGAAGTATGGAAACGGCGCTAGAATGAACAGATCCACTAACATAGGCTACTGGAAAGCCACCGGAAAAGACAGAGAAATCCGCCGTGACGATCAGCTACTCGGTCTGAAGAAGACACTCGTTTTCCACAGCGGGCGTGCCCCGGATGGGCTCCGGACCAATTGGGTCATGCACGAGTATCGCCTTGTGGATTATGAAACTGAAAGCAATGGAAACTTGGTGGTATAGTTTTATATCTGATACTCTCCTAAGAATCCTAACTTAGTTTCCTATCTTAACTCAAATCTTTGCTTTTGAGTGTGCAGCAAGATGCATATGTGTTGTGCAGAATTTTTCACAAGAAGAACATTGGGCCACCAAGTGGGAACAGATATGCACCGTTTATGGAAGAAGAATGGGCTGATGATGGAGTAGCTCTGATTCCAGGAGTAGACGTTGGAGTCAAGGCAGAGCCGCTACCAGTAGCCAATGGAAACTACCAGATGGACCAGGTTTGTACTTCCTCCATAACTCAGAAGCTGTTTAGTTTCATATTAGTAATTGTTATATGTAAAAGCTATGTGTTAAAACCATCTCTTAAGTAGTTCCAGTTGGATGAGTGAGTTTATTTGAACTTGAATAGTCTATCGATGAACAGTTCTACAAATCTTCAGTGTTACTAAGTGCAAGTGTCAGATATTTATCTTATGAATCATCTCTCTTGTTTTACGAAGAAATCATATTTTCTAAATGTAAAATCTTTTTGCTGAAGTGAAGCTTGTCTTAAGTACTGTTTCAGTGGTCTGAGTTACTTAAACTGGACTACCTGACTAGTCCTTTGAGCCTGTAACCAACACTCGTAGATCTCAACCATGCTTATTGCGAGATCGTTGAACATATCATCCTTGTGTGAGAAGTACTTGGCATTTTGCATCATCTGAAGTCATTTAATTTGATCAGTGGTTTCTTATTAGAAAGCATTTTGTTTTGGATCTTTTGTGTGTGCACCATCTTGGGTTCATACCAGTCAGAAAGCAAGGACCTTATTAACATCAACGAGCCACCAAGAGAGACTACTCCAATGGAAATCGAACTTAACCATAAGAATCATCAGGAGACTGCCCTCAAGCCGCAGCAGAATAACAACAATAACCATTCTAATGAAGATGAGAAAGCACTCAAACGTGAGCACCCAGATGAGGATGACCGTCCTCCTCCTGCAAACAAAGAAGCTCCGTCACCTCTCCTCCAATACAAACGCAGGCGCCAAAACGAATCCAACAACTCAAGAAGGACCACACAGGACCACTGTTCGTCCACAACAAAAACCGTCGACAACACAACAACCTTAATCTCATCATCTGCTGCTCCTGCCACCAGCACTGCCATCTCTGCATTGCTTGAGTTCTCTCTCATGGGTATCTCAGAGAAGAAGCATCTTCACAAGGAAGCTTCTCCTACCACACTTCCACCTCATGAAGAGAAGCTTAACGATCTGCAGAAGGAGATTCACCAGATGTCTGTTGAGAGAGAAAGTTTCAAGCTTGAGATGATGAGTGCAGAGGCTATGATCAGTATTCTCCAGTCTAGGATTGATGCACTGCGCCAGGAGAACGATGATCTGAGGAATAACAACGCCAAAGGTCAAGCAATGCTCTAAAGAGTAAAGCCATCTCTTCAGGTTTCTTCTTCTTTGCATTTTAGCTGTGTAATATAGTGAGCTATCTACTATGTATAGCTTCAGGAGACGGATTGTGAACCGTTTGGATGGCTGTTATAAAAGTATGATTTATTATCTTCTTGTTGGTGGGATGTTTATGCATCTTTTGAGAATATTTTCAGGTTGGTCTATTGTCATATACCTCTATAATCTAATCTGATATTTTCAGTTAAGACCGCTGTCTAAAGCTTCAAAGAACAACGTGTGGCGTTTGATTAAAACTTCCTGGCTCTTTAATGGACAAAGCTAATTTGTGGTATATACTTTGCGAATTACATTTTTGGTGTATTAATATTGTATATGAAATTAGTATGTATTATATGCAGAAAAATAGACAAAAAAAAAGTTCTATTATCTCCTTTTGTTGATCTTCTAAATTCCATTTAAAATCCAACTTAAAAGTGTTGAAAACAAGAGGATGAACATCCTCTGAGGTGGAGAAGGAGGACTGATCTCTCTGAAGTTCTGAACTTATTGCCATTGCTGGCTTGCACGCTATCTCTACTCTCGACTCTTCTTTCTAAGGGAACCACACTCTCTTCCTTCTTCCAGGCGTCAGGCTCAAGAGAGACCTAGAACTCAAGCATCTGGGATTTTGCAGATATGGAGAGCGTTGGAAGATGAACAGAGCACGTGAGAGGATTAGATTGAGGGAAAGAAATGCTGATGCGTCTGAGAGTGTGGTGAGTGAAAACAATGAGAATGAGTACGTGTCTTCTAGTAGAGAGCAGTCTCCAGATCTTGGCGATGTTGAGATAATGACGAAACTTCTGCATGGAATGAGTCATATGCAGAGGACATTAGAAACTTGTATGGCTAATGCAGTCTGAAGCTGAAATGTTTGGTTAGACAAGAGGTCTCTGCAGCTTTAAACCAATCACCCGGTGATAAAGGTTTGAATCCACCTTTCTATCCATATTTTATCTTTAGTCTGCATATGGAACAATCTATTTGGATGATGCCATCAGGTCTTGGACCAGGAACATCCGAGGATGGGTTGAGATGGGGTCATGTAAGGAAGGGGACTTGCTGTGTCTGCTGCGACACTGACATAGATACTCTTTTGTACAGGTAAAATGGTCTGTTTGTGATATACAAAACCAAACTAATGTCTGATCATATCTTTGTGATTCTGTAGATGCGGGCACATGTGTACTTGCTCAAAGTGTAGTAACGAGTTGGTCAGAACTGGAGCTAACCGGGATCACAAGTATTCAAATCCGACGGTGGGAGATGACATGGAGAAAATCGGACGGTTGGGATGGAAGGCGATGGTGACTGGAAAAGTAGAAGGACGTGCGTTGATAGGCAGAGAGATGTGGCGAAGTTGATGAAGGAGAAGAGAGTTGATGTGGTGGAGCGTTTTACCGATGACGGCGATGTGCTTGCTTCCGTCAGAAGTTTCATTTACTCTTTTGCACCGTAAAGGTTTTTCTAAAAGAAAATTCCATAAAATAAAGAGGCTAGGACAGGGTAAAAATCGTAATTATTTTAGATTTTATTACAAATAAATATTAATTAATTATAAGTTGTAAAATAAAAATACCATTTCTAGAATGTTTATATATACATAATTCATATATAATAAAATTATTACAATAACGAAATATATATAACATCATTTAATTACAACTATTTTATAAATTATAATTAAAATATTTACATATGCATGATAACATATATTTATACAATTTACAATATATTTCAGTTGATTCATGGAAAATATTAAAATAAAATATTTAGAAGCATAAATAATTTTTATATTTAACATAATAGCATTATCATATTAACATATAATTTAGTATATTTTCATTTAAAATAAAATATTAATTTTAGTGAACATTAGTATTAGTTTGTTTGATATATGATTTGCCAAACTTCAAATTAGTTTTATACGTTGAATTTTATGCGACTTCTCAACCAACGAAAGAGACGTAATAGCTACTTGTGTACCATGAAAGATCTCTTGTTTTAGTGCACAAAAGAAGAAACACAGATAACTAAATTTTCTTCTGTTGCAATGTCATTGTCTTGAGTTGCTTTACAATATTTTCATCAAGTAATTGAGTCAAATCATTCACATCAAAAATAAAAATATACAAGTATTAACGTAAAACTAGGATCTTTTCTGTTGTTAGTTTACATTTTAACAAAAGAAAATCAGTTTAGGTTATAAAGTAAAGCTCTTTCTAAAAAAACAGTTAATATTGACTGTAATTAATCTTCAAAAGAGTTTTCTCTCAACCCAAATCCAATTAGGTAGAGTTATGAAACAAGGTATTAGTAGACTTTCAATTATGAAACAACGAATTAAATTAGGTAGCGTTGGGACCTATTAAACAAAGTATTAGTAGACTTTCAAGCAAAAAAAAATGTAAGTTTCACACTGTAATTCGTAACATTCAAGCCTTTTATGATAAAATAATATTTTCAAAATATTTAATTACTAATATATGTTTGCCTAAAAGCAGGACAAGACTAATAGAATCAGTTTCATACAACAACAAAAGACTTTCAAATATGTCGGGACCATCTCCACTCTCTGATCCTCACGAATATTTGAGGAACGAAGATGGCTCCATCACTCGTTACCCCCACATATTGCCCCGCTCCCCCTACATTCAACATAATCCTTTCGCCCCATCTGAACCGTCGGTTCATAAAGTTGTATCCAAAGACATCATCGTGAACCACTCAAAGAACACGCGGATGCGTCTCTACGTCCCCGCAGCTGCACTAAACGCCGCCGTTTCACCTCGAAAACTCCCTCTCGTGGTCTACTACCACGGCGGAGGATTCATCATCTGCAGCATACTCTTCCAGCTCAGCCACGACTTCTGCGTGCGACCTTATGGCCCGTGAGCTCACCGCAGTCGTCGCGTGTCCTTCGTACGGGCTAGCTCCCGGCGGCTTACGAGGACAGAGAGGACGCGCTTGAGTGGATAAGAAACTCCGACGACCACGAGTGGATAAAATCTCACGCCGATCTCTCCAACGTGTACCTCATGGGGACAAGCACCGGTGGAAACGTGGCTTACAACGTCGGGGTTAGATAGGCAGAAGGAGATTGGATTATAGATAGGCAGAGAGACTTGGCGAGGTTGATGAAGGAAAAGGGAGTTGATGTGGTGGAGCGTTTTACTGACGGAGATGTTTACAGATTTGAGCTCGGTGATCACCCAAATGCTCAAACTCTGTTTGCTTTTGTCTGAAACTTCATCTCATCTTCTGCACGTAAAGCTTTTTTTTTTAATTTAAAAAATCCATAAAATAAGGCCCAGCCCAATATATTATGCACATTTAAAGATTACCTTAATGTCGTTTTCTCTTATGGAACTTGACATCGCCAGTTTAGTGGTCTAAATAAGGGTTTATGTACTCAGTTGATCGTTCCAAGTTTTAAAGAAGGCATAGTACACAGATTAATGAATTTAATAATATTAATATAACTAGGAAACAACACGGAAGAAGGAAATGTTTAATTTTTTGTTCATTTTTTTATAATTATTAAAATATTTTTAACCATAACTCCAGTATTAAAGAGAGTGTATTAATAAATGGCGAAAAGTTTAGATTTCGAGATTATGATCAACTTTTGGAAATAACTGACAAGAATATATCTTATGATGGTATAAAAAAAAATCACTGCTACAACAATTAATAAGTGTATGGAATGTATTTTTCAAAAGTTAGAGATATTTGCAGATATTATTGGTGTAATTGTTGAAAAAAAAATGAATACACAAGCTACGGTTACCAGACAAAGAAGAATAAACCTAGACATGCAATTAGAAGTGTTAGTAAAACATTATTCATAAGTAATAAATTAGGGAGTGCTAAAATAGTATTTAAATAATATTTCTCTGCAGACAATTTAAAAGATTAAGACATATAATTGTTTTACTGATATGATTTTTTTAAAAAGGTCTTGACTTTATAACAATGCATTAGCCTTTAATAATTATATATTAGGAAATTGTATAACATTATTCATAATTAATAATTTAGGCAGTATGGAAATAGTATATGATAAAATTTCTGCCAAGATTTTGAAAATATTAGACATATAATTCTTTTACTGATATGATTTTATCGAAATCCTTCATTTTACGTTTCCATGATTAACTTATAGATGGATTGCTTTTTTGTAAGTGATGTAATATAGCACATCTTTTTAAATTATATTATTATACCTATTTTCTGAATTTTTTTTATAATCACATTGTTATAACAGTACTTAAACTGATAGATAAGTGCGTACTACTATATGGGACAATATGGTAAATACGTGCCAAATACAAATGAAAAATAAATAATCATATGGTATAACTATGATAATAACAAGTGTCAATCCCAAAATTTATTCAGGTTAAGATTAAGAAATAACTAAGTTTATATCAAAAAATTGTTAAGACTATAAATTACTCAATAACATATATTATAGGATATTTGTACTTAAATACAACGTTAGCTTCCAAAATATATCAAGATGATCCATTAAACACGATCAAATCTTACAAAAAAAAAGATAACCTGTCAAATTTATCATAAAAATTATAGAAATGTTACATAGTACAAATATCAAATAATCAGTGGTGTACACATATTTCTTCCAATACAAAAAGGGTGAACACAGTTTAAAGAATTCAAATGATAATATTGTCAAACTATCAGATATAATCAACTTCATTGACAAATATGTGTTTAAGGTAAAAAAATATTAATTCTTTGTAGTTTAAAATTTACCTTAAAAACCAAAAGTATTTTATTAATTTAACAAATAACTAATTTTATATCAAAAATTGTTAAGACTATAAATTACTCAATAACATATATTATAGGATATTTGTACTTAAATACAACGTTAGCTTCCAAAATATATCAAGAGGATCCATTAAACACGATCCAATCTTACAAAAAAAGGTAACCTGTTAAATTTAAATTACAAATCATAGAAATGTTACATAGTACAAATATCAAATAATCAGTGGTGTACACATATTTCTTCCAATACAAAAAGGGTGAATACAATTTAAAGAATTCAAATGATAATATTGTCAAAATATCAGATATAATCAATTTCATTGACAAAGATTTGTTTGAGGTAAAAAAAAATATTAATTCTTTGTAGTTTAAAAGTTACCTTAAAAACCAAGAAGTATTTTATTAATTTAC